AGCATAGCCTGTATTTGCATTATCGTATTTACAAATATTCTTAATGAGTCTGGGGCACAAGGTAAACAAGTTGATGGTCTTGGGAAACCTGAACACAATCCTTTGTTCAGCTTGCACTTGTAGCAGTGTGCATTTGACAGCACTGTTAAAATCTGAGTATTACCAGCATTGTATTTCCTGGAACCAAGAATATTATGCATTGAGCTTTTCACCATTTCACTGGTCAGGTATGAAACATGTCTCTTTCTCTTGGACCAGAGCCAGATGGGTCATTACTGAGTTATACCCAGTAAAGGGGAGGAGACTTTGCAATTTTGTCACATCCAGAAGTCCAACAAGACTGGGAGTTTAGGCTTTGCTCTAAACTCTGCAGTCTTTTTTCTTCATGCAATATTCTTCAGAAGGAAATGAGTGCATGAAAAGATAATGCCTTGTTTGAGATTTCCAGATCAATTAGGTTTTCATCCTCTCCACTTACCAGCGTCATCCTCCAAAGACAGTCATGTACTGGATGTAAGAAAAAAACTAGTTCTCAGGGTGTTCTGGCTATGTTTGCAGCATTGATGACCAGAATTAGGACAGTCCTGATAATTTGGTGATAGAATTAATTTCATGTCAGTTGTCACCAAGTAATAATGTGCACTTTGACCTGAAAGCCAAAGGATATTTTTGAATTTGCAAGTCCACAGCTTCATTTAGAATTAGACACTGCTAGTAAGATTGTCTTAAATCCTTTGCTGAAGAAACTTCCTTTCAAATGCAGAAAGTATAGAGAGGTTAGTTTTATTTATCATTTTCAATTTTTCATATTAAAAATTGTGTACATGCAAGCATTTAGAAAACAGTAGCTCTTCATATGAATCTACATGTCAACAAAGCTCTTTTTAGCCAAAGAAACTGTTTGTTATTTGTCATTTGCTATTCTTCAGTGTTTGTTTTACTGTCAGGAAATGTGGATGAAACAGAAATACTGCCTTGTGTCTCAAATACAAATTAAACATACTGCAAAGGTCTCACAGCCTGAGAACTAAATTATGAATTACAAAATGTGTGAACATATTTTCTTTAAATGATAAATGAGTGGTTTTTCTTTAAATGGGGAAAAGTATTGCAACTATCAGACAATTGCACTTCTATTCTTATTCTGAATATTTTTTTCAGTATGGCACCATATAACCTGAATCTTTCCCAACACTTCCTACTGCTTATTGCTACTGAGCACATCTGAGACAGTTAGAAACAGAAATCATAGCATTTCATATTGTATTTAGGTACATAGAGACCAATAACATCTGAGGAATTTAGTGCACAGATATCTATGTACATCTGTATGTTAAAAACTTCTTAGAATATTCTGTAAGCTTTGGCTAGTGAGCATGTTAGATGGAAGCTTAGATAAGTTCCAAACTGCAATCCAGAAATTTTAGTATTTATTTAGTTAAAAAAAAAAGGGGGAGGGGGGAGTAGAACAGCAGGAAATAGTTTGCTCAGTCTTTCCTGAAAACGACCAAGAAAGATGCTGAGGTGAAATGAGAGACCTTCACAAGTATTATGAGATAGGTGGGAGCTTTGATTTGGAAGGTTTATAGTGTTTGCCCTGTTACAGGGTCTGTTACAGTAATCTAGTAGAACACAAATAGACAAAGTTTCCTGGGATAATGTGCAATGGCAAATGCAATGTTCATAAATGTACGTGCTTTGAGCATTTCCTGGTAGCATGTTCATTTTTTACATTGGTAAAGGCTCCTGCTCAGTAACTTTCTTAGTGCCTGTTTCATGCATATGCACTTAGAATCACAGAATTATAGAATATTCTGAGTTGGAAGGGATCCATATTAAGTTTGCATATTAAGTATGCTCCATGTATTTAAAAATTGGTATTGCAAACCCCACATTGTGGCACAGAAAAATCATAAATTGGTATTTACTGCTGTTAAAATAATCAATTTCTATCTCTTTCAATATTATTGTAGCATTAGGAATCTTAGAATAAGATGTAAGAGTGAAAGTGAGTGAGTCACATTTTAATCCATATGAGTTTCAAGCCTCAAAAATCTCCTGATAGACAGTATTTCAGGAAAAAAAACGCAAAACAACAAAACAAAGGCAGTTTATTCCATCAGCATAATCATTTCCCAAATATCCCTCCACTGGTGGAACAGGGTAAATATCTAAAAATATGCCTGTGTGTCTTTTCCTCCCAGGGATGCAAATATGTCATCAACTGTAAAATTCACTGGAGATGGCCCATTTGTCAACATCACCAAAGGAGCAAACCAAATCCTAATATTGACAAAAAGGTGGGTAGAGTGATGTTTCTTCCTCATATAAATGATGAGTTAAAGTATGGTGGTGATCATTTATACACTAATTTCTAGCTCAAATTGTTCTGAGATGTAACATGATTCTATATGAGGTGAGAACTATAAACTTATCTCTGTCTACTGATGAATTCTATATAACACTGGGCAACACCTCCCTTTCCTTTCTTGTTCATCTGTTGTAAATTTAAACAGAAAGAGAGGCTTGCTACATTTTTAGCTAGCATTCAGTAAAATCGGAAGCCTTTATCTGTTTACTGTGAAAACAATAAATACTGCTATTTTAGCAAAACATTTCTCATCTAGAAATCTCTAAATTATAAAAATATAATCTAGTAGAAGTAAGATGGAGGGACATTCACCCACAGTTATATAGTAATTATCACAGTAGGTTCTCTCAATAATCACCAGAGAGAAATAAGCACTCCAAATTGCAATCCATCAAGGCATTTCTTGAAATATGATAAATCACACTTTATAATCCATTGCCTTTACTGATACAGATTTTGGACTCTGTGGATTGCTAAAGGAAGCCATCCACAGGCAGGTACCTAAAATTAGACAAATCGACTCAAAAATTACTTCTGGATTTGTCTCCACATTTAGAAGTGAATTATTAGATGAGATGATCCTCATCTCATATGATACTATTCTAGTCTTTCTCAGTTCAAGTAACACCTTAAGTGGTTCTGAAGGGTCCGACAAACTGGTAGTTTCTTGTAGATTAAATGAAAATGTGATGCTAGCACAGGATTACATTCTCAGGAAATTCTGGGATTTACAGTACACCTCCCAAGGAGAAAGGCTTGCCATTATCAATTAAAAAAATATATATCATTACTTCAATACTGTCATTCTGCTTATAAGAGGGCTTACTGTACACATTTTCCTGGAATCCTACCAAAATCACTGAGGCAGAAAATTTCTATCTATTTGCTAAAATGCCAAAACCATGTTGAGGACAGCAAGAGTCTATGTTCTTTCAGGTTTCCTTTATAAATATACCACATAGTAATAAAGCAGGAGAGAATTCCTAATTTGCTATGCTGTATTTTATCTACAGGAAAAAAACCCAACTTTGAAAGATACATTATGTTTTAATTATACTTTGTAAATCCCAAAAATGTATCATTATCACTGGTGGTGAAAGTATCTTAAACTAATGGAATATCATTGCAAGCTAGTTTTCTTTTTTTCTTGACTGGATGTCTACACCAGCATTGCCTGAAGCCATCTTGAAGAGCAGTAATGATTTAAAGATGTCTTCTGTTAATATCTATTAAATACTAAAAAGTGAGGAAATGGAATAAATTAATTTATCTTAGTTGTATTTTTGCTGCAGAAATAGGTATCTTCTACTATGTTTCATATGGACAGCTGATAGGAATCATTTTGCAGGATGTCACTGTTACAGATTCACACACTTTTTTTTTTACAAATAATGAATGATAGATCACACAGATCTCATAATTTAAACAATCAAATTAATTAACTGGTAAATTAATTACAAAATGTATTTCTCACATTGCCTTTGGTCTTTATTCAAGTGCAACCACCATTGAAATAAAGGAGGTCACACATTATAGGACTTGAAACCTGCAATGGCAGAGACAGCAAAAGTGTTTTCTGATGCCCTTTGGTAATGTGATTTTTGGCAGGATAGATTTGTAACAGTGCAAAATCCTGCCTTGAAGATATATGTGAGCAGATTCCACAGGCATAATTGGCTTTGCCAGTTCTAAGTGAAGATCACACTCACAGATATCCTACTACTCCAGATTTCTTCCCGGCATGCTGCTTTGTAGCTGACACTCAGAGAGGCACATAGGATGAGTACTGAGTACATGCAATGCTTCTGTGGTCCTTTGGCCTCTCCCAAGGCCAAGAGGCAGCTGAGGACTGTTAGGCTGAAGGGCAGATAAGGAAGTAGTTTTCCTACTGGGAGCCAGGTTCAGAAAGAAGAAAAAGCAGAGGTCCATGAAATAATTTCTACTAAAGCCACCAGTAGGTACTGACAGTGGGACAAAGAGTCTTGGTATGTGCAACTCCCTGCTTCAATGTAAAGTTATCAGGACAAGTCTGACATTGAAGAAGGTGATTCCCCCTCTCTACTCTGCTCTTGTGAGACCTTACCTGGAGTACTGTATACAGTTTTGGTGCCCCCAACATAAGGACATGGAACTGTTGGAGCAAGTCCAGAGGAAGCCATAAAGCTGATAAGAGGACTGGAGCATCTCCTCTATGATGACAGGCTGAGGAAGTTGGGGCTGTTTAGCCTGGAGAAGAGAAGGTTGCATAGAGACCTACCTCATTGCAACCTTCCAATATCTGAAGGAGCCTGCAGGGAAACCAGAAAGGGACTGAGGGACACTTCATTAGGAATTGTAGTGATAGAACAATTATATTTATTGAATATATATAAATTGAAAAAGGGGAAATTTAGGAAATTTATGTTAGATATTAGGAAGAATTTTTTACTGTGGGGGTGGTGAGACACTGGAACAGGTTACCCAGGGATGTTGTGGATGCCCCAATCCTGGCAGTGTTCAAAGCCAGGCTGGACAAGGCCTTGAGTAACCTGGTCTAGTGGGAGGTGTCTCTGCCCATGGCAGGCAGGGTTCGGGCTCAGATGATCTTTAAGATCCATTCCAATCCCTTAACGTTGTATGAATCTGCAACATGTATGCATCTACCTATAAGAAAGTGCAGGATAAGATAAAGGAGCTAACATACAGCACCACTAACCACCCTTTAAAAGCCTATGGAGGAAGCTTGGCCAAGAATTATTTAGTTTCTATGGAGTTTACACAGAAGATGGCATTGGTTTCCTGTGGGTTTATGCATTTCTGGTTGTCATCCTTGCTGTATGTCTCACTACAAAGGGACACCCTTATGAAGTCAATACAATTTGAATACAAATTACAGAATTTGGTTTCCACTTTTTAAATTACATCTTTAAAATTAGGCATCTAAAAGTGGAAAATGGTGATGTGAGACTATTCAGGGCTTGAGGCATATCTCATTCTTACACCTCTGTAGTGAAGGTTTAACTGAGAAACTGGTGGGTGGTTACAGTTCCCACCTGCCCTTCTTGTACCACTATGCCATTATGAAAATGCTGGGTCATATCATGCACTATTTCCTTCACAACAGTTATTAAATTTTAAAGCAAAGATTGTGAAGAATACATCATACCATATTGTGTTTAAAGCATCCCTTCCTTTTTCTAATTCTTTTCAAAATGACATGGAAATGCACACTTTAAACAAAACATTGGCAAACTTTTTTCCTCTCTCTGATAAATTTCTGTGTGTATCAGATTTAAATTTCTAGCACAGACAGTCTTCCCAGTGTTTCAGATTGATTACAAACTATGAACCTAATAATAAAACCTCTGGATATCAGAAATGCTTGAGTACTTTTGATCTGTGGTTGTGTGCTCTTCAGACTCTGACTTTATATCTCTGCTAAGTAATTTCTAACCTTGTAGATGCAGATATGTATTTTACAGTGCATTATTTTCTTAGTGAAATGATATGGTGGTATCAAACTATCCTCTTAAATTCTTTGGCCACACTGATCTCTAGTGGTAAGGTATTGAAAACACCTCAAAAGGGAGAAAAAATACCATAGACAGTTACAACTTTATTATGAACCTGTCAAAGACAGATGACTTACTTCCCTAAAACACAAGGGCAATCTACTTTTATTTCCATAACATAAGCCAATTAAATGCACATTGAAGAGGAATATGTACACTTATTGTCATATGGCATATGCTTTATATTTATAATTAAAATATAATTTAAACATGTAGGATGAGTTATATTGAACTGATGTACTTATATATATGATTATATAAATTATATATATTTGTGTATGTATGTACATATATATTTGACAGCCATTTAGAGTTATCTGAGGTGCAGATACTTGTGATTTAATTGCACTTTTATTCCAGAGAACACTGTTTGAACAACCTGGTGGTTCATCTGCAATGTAACCTTCAATGTAAGTACACAGACTCCAGAAATATTTCACATAGAATTCAAATTGTTCAGACCATAAA